TTTCAACATCTAGCACCTGTAATCTGATAATAGAACAAAGCAGATTTTTGGTAGATCATTTTTTAGTGAATATATATTTCGAAATTTTGAATTCGTATTTACTTACAACCAGGTGGGATGCGCTTAATTTAACCAGTAGTAATATATATGCCCGATTCTAAATCTCACTAGATGAAAATCCCTAAAAAGTCACTAGAATTGAGTGATTTTGAACTGCGGTAGCGAGGTTTGTGCCTGTGCTAACGTCAAGGTCAAGGGGTCGAGGTTTGCGCTCGAGATAAAGTATCGGAGGTTTGCATCCAAGCTAAAGTAATTCGGTTTGCGCGGAGTCATGGGTTCTTGTCGATGGTAGTGTACGGCCAATTCTAAATCACACAAGATAAAAATCGCTAGAAAAGTCATTAGGATCGAGTGGCTCTGAACTGCGCTAGGGAGGTTTGCGCCTGCGTCAAGAGATTTGCGCGTGAGAGTTAATGTAAGTTGATCGGAGGTTTGCGCCCCGGGGTACAGTAATCTGATGGGCGTCTCTGATGTTGCGCTAGAGTATGAGAGGTTTGCGTCCGAGCTATTTGGTCGGAGGTTTTCTGTCAGGCTATCCTGAAGTTTCAAGGTCGTTTAAAGTCATTTGAACGTGGTTTGGTTCCGGAATAGGGTAATTTAATCGTGGCCTTCAAGATGAAAGTTTTGCGTCCGAGACGAAGTGGTTTGTATATGAACTGAAGGTTTGTTCAAACCACCAGAGGGTCTGGTTCATTTCTTTATTAAAGTAGCATATAAAAGGACAGGAATGGGCGCTGTACATCTTGCTAAAGAAAGAGCATCATTTACGATAATGGCAACAATAACAACCACGACAACATCAACAATTGTAAATGTGACCCCGAAACGGAATGAGAATAGAGGATTTGCTTACGAAAATAAGGAAATTAATGTGGGTGCAGGTAAAAAAGAAAAGTAAGGTCTATTCTCCTTTGGGAATATTTCCAATAAAGATTAATAATCATGAGCTAGCCGTCGATGAAACAGAATTAATGTATTTTTTCGCGAAGGATCCATGTATATGAAGTTAGTGACGTTATTGCGCTTACCTGATGCTAAAAAGGGATTGGAGTAGTACGTTGAGATGTCTGCTTTCAAAATTTCAAACAAGTAACGTTGGCTTATATGGAGACACCGCCGGAATTACACCTCGAAACAATGCAGTTACTGTCAAAGAATGTAATAATTTCGATATCTACAAATTTTATATGATAGCTTGTATGCAGGAAGTAGTGTCTTGATTTAGTTTTGTTGATTTTGCATTTTGTTCAGTTCATACAGGTAGATGGTAAAATGTAGCATCACTTTGGTTTCTGCATCTATTCAGTACAGTTCAATTTGTTCCAGCTTTGTCAACTTCTGTCTAAGATTTGTGCCATTCCAAAAAGGTAATGTACTTAGTTTCAAGTAAAATTACTTTGCTGTTAATTATGTTGCCTGCACCTGCTTGTAACTCATTGTAAGTGAATTCATTCTTTGTGTACGAATCTGCCTTTTTTGAGTGTAATAATTTTTTTCGCCCGTGCAGCGGTGGATACCGAAGTGATAAAGATACTTAACGGCATTCATTTCGAAATAAAACTTTAATCGAAGATTACCGTATCCAGGACTTTCAGATACCTTCTGGACTGAAGAATGTCCGGCTAATTAACAATGTATTTCGTGTGCAGAGACCGCGGAATGTTATTGTGCACAAATGGGAAAGAGGTGGAGTCGCTTTGAAATCTATTTGAGCTCACCATTCTTTGGCTTATCAAATGTTGCATTAAATTAACGCCAGATTTAAATAATTCAAATTCAAGGATTACTTCCTCGGACTATTAACTTTGGTATATTGTAGACGTGATGTAAAATATGTGTTTACCGTTTTCCACAGTTACTTCTCTTGTTCCAGATGTTCCACCTATATTCTCTGTAAACAATGATTCGGAATTTTCATCGGTTCTGCTCTTTTGTCTAATGAGTTCAAGGGGACATGGCATTTCTTTGGCTTTAAATGTATTTTGTCTAAATTTGTAGGAATCTGCATATTGATTCATTTTACACTTTTAATTATTCAATAAAAAAAAATAAACACACTGTATATAATGAATAGTCAAATTTTCATTTATTTTTTTCATTATAATGTTATTATTATTGTTGCCAGTGTAAACGTCTTGCCATGGTCCTCTAATGAAAGGCATCGATGAAAGGAATTAACATCTACCAACCATAGCCCTCCTTCTCGACCCCTTATCGTAATCTATTATAGGTAATTCCTTATATCTCAAGAGCGGATTGTCGGAGGAGCGTACTCATAAAGGGCTTCTACCTCATAACCCAACTATTTACTATAAGCACTAGATTTGTACACAATTTATACTTGTTTTATTAATCATACTCTTTATTCTTGTTTTTGGTTACAAACGTCAATTTCGAAATAGAGAAAAGAACAAAGGGGGTATAGTACAACATTTAAACAGAGAAGCAGGGATTAGTCCAAGAGGATCAGAATGAGGGCATTCGGTTTTGAACCACGAAAACGTAATGCATGCGGCCCGTGGAAGAAAAATTATACGTATAAAATAAAAAACCATAAAAACACGTGCGCTCAAAGAATAAATTAATCAATCGTACGTTTCTTTGGCCTATGGCGATCGTGGAAGTTAAAGTAAAATAAACTTTCTTTAAACTTGCCCGTAACAATCTACATCAGTTGCCGTTTGAATTTGGAATAAGTTAGTAATAGATCGTATTGTGAAAACGAAAGTTACTTGACGGCAGAGAGTAAACGTAGGCGGTTCAATGCCTGGTAAATTAAACCAAAAGCTTACCCCTAGAAAAGAATTCTGAAAACGTTAATGTTAGTTCTCCCGAAGATCCAAGTTCCGTTATCTATTATCCATTCCCAAGGTACCTACTATCTCTAGGAGAAGAGCCGGACAGATTTGTACTGTAGGAAAATCATCATTTCCATTTATGTATGGTACTGTAACATTTCTTGACTTGTATAAAAATATCTATCGGTTCTCTTTAAAAGTAATTGCGTAATAGTTATTTAGCCTATGTACAAATAGGAATGGATGATTTTGTACTTATATCTGAAAGTGAATACTCTTTGCTCCAAGGTGGTCTCCTGTACACTAATCTGGGAGCTTATCGCACTTACTGCATTAACCGCATTATCCTTAGGATTCAAGTATGTTTGCAGTTCAGAATCTCAGCACCTTCTTTTCCTGTTTTCTCAGTTTTCGAGTACAGTTCTGGCACTAAGACATAAGTCACCGTTTATGCCCTAATTATTACACTTGTAAGAGAAGTAAACTGTACAAACATTTAAATGTTGTGTTTATAATTGACATTTTTGCATTGATTGCAGATTTGTTTTAGTAAAGGGGACAAAAATTTTACCAGACGCTTTTACCACACTCCCTTCTATCTCACATTGACAAATTGGAGCTATGGTCGACGAAATATATGCGGACTTAACCACACTTATTTGAAGAATCGAGTATACGCGAGCGGGTAGTGTTGTCTATAGTTATTCTATAGGGAAGCACGAATGGATGAAACGTAAACAATGTTCATTTAAGTACATCCGTGTCATCTTCTTCTTCATCTTCCTGAATTTGCTTCAAATGAAGCATTTTGAGAATAACACCAGCATGAATCCACTAATGCTTAATGGCTGCAAAGCTTGTCTAGAAGGAGATTGGAAAAAAGAATCATCAGTCAATTAATTTCCACAAATGAGTCTACAGAGAAAAAAAAACAGTTAGGTAGCTTACAAAAAAAACCGTGAGCAACAAATTAAAGTAGGTACTCGAAATTTCGTTTTCGGTTCCCATGATAATCTCAGCTCGATTGATCATTTATCCGCATTTGATAGATTGATGATTGAAGATCAGGGTCGGCGTTGTGTGTACTTGTAACGTTTTCGAAGGCGCCTTCGATCTCACAAACAATATTAATTTATGATGGCGAAAATTTATTTAATAACCGACGGAAAAATTTACGAACACGCCTTTAGATCGATCGATTATAACGACGGGATAAGGCCTAATTAAATCGAATCCGCCATGTAGAAAATTGTGGTTAAAAACCTTTTCTCATGCAAGCTGACAGCTACCGAGCTCTTTAAAATTTTTATCTACGGCTTGCAGTTCGATTACAAAGAGATTTTACGAGTTAATTGGTCGAGTTAATTTCGGAACAAGTTTATAATTTTCCCGGCAATTCATTATCAAATCAATTTGTTAAAACTCGGTCGAGTAATTCGTTCATTATAATTTATAATTAGCTTGATTTTTTTGGGGGAAGTTTCGGTTTGATGCGAATATGACTTGCAACGTCACCGCGATAAATACTTAAAAGTTGGGGCGGCGTGTGTGGCAATAGTTTATGGCCATCCAGGTGCCATGATTTAAAGCCGCGATGCTCTTATGTTCGGCCCACGCGCGCCATCTTCACAGTTTATTTATTGCCAACTTAGTTGTTTTAAAATTGTCAAGCCTATGTTACATAGTGCACTTCGAGATTTCTTTGTTTTTCTGTCGACGAATTTTTGCGAGGAACGACGCTTATCTTTTGGTGGTAGACGGTGGGGGACAAGACAAGAGCTCGCGTTGCCAACGTAACAGTCCGAAATTCCTCTGTAAATTAGAAAATAAAGATAACTCCTGACCTGTCTGTAGGTGTTAGAATTTAGTTGTTGATAGTAAAATTTGTAGATATAAAAATGTTGTCTGCGACTTTAGCTGTTAATGGTTCAAGTCCCGAAGAGGATTTGATGCCACGACAGGTTGTATATATATTTACGGTACTACTTTATCTGATAAAACGGAAAAAGGTGTCAAAGCGAATGGTGGGCCGCCGTTTGTAACATTTTATGGCCCCCCTATTCTCTATCTATCAAGTTCGGACTAGATAAGCTTTTTTCTACGTTTACTTCTGTTACTTTTTTTCTCGCCGTGTTGCGGACGAGACGACCTCCGATTCATTTTGAAGAAAGAGAAATAAATAATCTAATACGTGCATCGGACTATAACAGTTTTATAATAACAATCAAATTTTATGGTGTTGTAAGTGCGTTGGCTTCGGTAGTTTCATGCAGATATTGTGAGCAAATTGTGGTTATAATAAAATGAAATAAAATCGCCGAAGAAATGCAGTCGTTGAAATGTTGGATTCGAGATAAAATCTCGACCCTATTCGCTCGAGGAGAAGACTTCATCACGTTTACAGGTTATGGTAGTTTCTATTCACATTATCCGATAATATCACTCTTGTGAGATCTTTTCTATTATGAACACGACGCATGTGGTGTCTCAGAATTAGGCAAAGGACTCTAGAACGCTGATTTTTTCCTTAGATCAAAAATCTCTAGTTTTGCTTCTTGTTTTACTAATAAATAACTATTTTTAATCGCTCACGCGAAGCAGTGAATCCTTCTATATGATTATACGTAAGTAGAAGAACAGGAAAGGCGACTATGTTCAATATAAAAGTTTTGCGAAGTAATTTAGGCACTGCTTCAACCTAACCAATATACTAGCAAAATTAGAACAAAGAAAGATGGAGGGAGGAGAGGGGGTCTGTAAATGATTTCTAAAAAGCTTATTGTTGTAAAAAAAACACGTATTCTCAGATAGCACCTCTACAGTTGATAAGCATACTCTTTGGGAGCCAAAAACCTCGACGTTGTGGGACATTTTTCGGTTTTCTACTTGCAATTCATAAACCTCATTATCGACTAACCGCCCCTACACCTCTTTAAAATCGAACCAATTTTTAAGGTATCAATCGATGGCTGAAGAAACAATTTTTTTTACATTTTGGGCCCTGAAAAGCAATAGAGATTTGCTTGATCTGATTGGAACGTCTAGATGCATCACAAGATTATGTGACCAAAACTGAAAAATCGGCATATAGTTCGAGGAAACCGAAGATCTCGCACAAATCTTATGGTTCTGAAGAATATTAGGAAGCAGATCTTGTGGATCTGAAGAATTTCAAAGATATGCAAAACAAAGAAATCAAAAGAAACTGAAGAATCTGATGTAACGAGTAGCTACAAGACCTGGCCTGAAATGCCCTCTCGTACTATAATTATGATTCTATTTTGTAAGGATATAAAAATTAATGTTACCTTCTTGGAAAATGATGCCTATGGCTAGCGAACATTTTTAAGCAAAATTTTGCAAGGAAAATGATTTTTTTTTCCGTGACTGAACAAATTAGAATCGGCACACCTCTGGGTTCAGATCAGGTAGTTCAAACCCGAAATACCGATTAATCCAATAAGCTGATCCAAATGATTGAAAAGGCATCATGGTACCTACACACCTACAGATGCACATGCCAATTCTACCTGTCGCAGGTGACCTGCCAAGTCTACCTACCAAAACACTACAGGTCCACCGTCCATCTCAGTTGGTTAAAAATGTTTGAGAACGTAGCAATAGACTCAGGAATGCATACACACTTACAAGTCGAAGGGTGGAGTGCGGCAGGTGCCTTGTGGATCTGTGACCTATCGACTTTTACAGCAATCGTCAGGTCACTTGACTGTTACGGAAACTGACAGTTTTTGCTCATCCATATTCCCAAGTTGACCTGACAAGTCACCTGCGAAAGGTAGAATCGATAGGTGCATCACCTTACCTAGGTGTGTACCTACCTAAGCCTCGTATAATGAATGGCGTCTTTGAATTCCAGAAATTAATTATTTTACCTAGCATGGATTTTTCATTTAGCCTCGAAATATTAGATGATAGAATCTAATTTCGAGCGATTAACTTTATTCTGCTGTCTTGTAACGGTTTAAATTGTTATAAGGTTATGGCAATTGGCAAGTGATGATTTTTGTTGCACTTTTTTTTTTTTTTGGATTTAAATTTGAACGGATATCTTAGGAATTTTGCAGGTCTCGCAAATGCAGACATCTTTTCAACTCCGTTCATTCAAATTTTCGTTTGGCGCTCTTTTCTGTTGCCGACCGTGTTGGAGTATCTTACTGTTTTTGTGGAATGATAGAATAATTGATTTTGTTTAATATAATTGATTCTGAACTTCCGTTTCTGATTGCCGCTATATTGTTCGTTTTGGGTACTTTCTTAATTACTTATAAGGTTTTTTAAGGTGATCTTCGGCTTATCAAACCTTTTTGTTAGTGCTCCTTTTGACCAGAATCAACGTAGCGCTATGGGTTAGTATGGGCTTTGAAAGCTTTTGCACGACTGACGCATGTTTTTAGGGTTTTTGGCAGTGTCTGTCCCAAAAGTAATGTCATTTAGTTGATTGCGAAGCGGCTATAAGGCGTAACGCGTTAAAACCGTTTTGTTTCAATAGAGCAGAAAAACAGTTTTCCAGCAAGCGTAAAGTGCGCGCGAAAATGGTGCCAGGAATTTTAACAGACGGCCAAAAACTTGGATCTTGTGGATTTGGATTTGTGCGACAACGACCTCCGCTTTTTGCAGAATTTCATCACAGGTGATGAGTTTTGGGAAAGGTTTTGGGTGTTCGAATATGATCGCGAAACAAAAGACAAAGTGTTTAGTGGCACACCTTGGCTTCCCCTCCCACGGAGAAGGCCAAAATAAGCAAGTCAAAGGTCAAGACGATGCTCTTTGACATTAGGGGAATCGTCCATCATGATGTTATTCCACATGGTACAACTACAGCCAAATTCTACGGGAAAGTGCTCAAAAGACTCAAACGAAGGGTCCGGCCTAACATCCCATCCACCATGATAACGCACCAGCCCTCACCACTTTCCTCCTGACAAGCTTCTTGGCAGGTTACAATGATTTCCCAATCACCCTACAGCCCACGGATTTTTTCCTGTTCCTTCGCTTGAAATCTCCTTTAAAAGAGTCATCGTGTCGGGACAATTGAGAAGGTCAAAAAGGTTTTGCATCAAGGCTCTAAAGGAGACCCCACAGAAGTACCTCATAGCCCGGAAGTAATTATTACGTGTATAATTGTTAGGGTACGGTCATACTTTTTGTACAGATACTTTTTCTATGTGCTTTTGAACCAAGACCAACTGAAACGCTGCTATTACAATAAATTATTATGATACTAACTTCACGCCCTTGGGTTTATAGCGCGAATAATATTTTTTTTTCGTATTTTTCATCCTCCCTGGATCAAGCTACTTTTATAGTCTGTATTCGCAACAATGTGCACTATTTCGCAATTCAACTTTATTTACGGTCGCGCAACTCTAACCATTGCGGGTTAAAAATTCCACTATTGTTCGTATTTACCGTAATTTTTCTAAGAATATAGGTAAATACTCAGATTATGGTGGAGAAAAATAATTATGTCTGGAACAATGATAGGACAGAAAAAAGAAATTCAGGACGGAACCAGGAATGAAGGAACACAAAATAAGTTACCAAGGATATCTACGTCGAGGGTGGCTTCTGGAGTAAGTCGCATACAATATTTTCATAAAAATTGAACAGCTGACCTTTCAGTTGACTGGTGGCAGGCAAGCGTACCGCTTCCACCGGGTTGTCGGAAGCTCGCCGTAGAAAACGATGGTGACAGGAACAAACGAACGATACCGCAACGACTGTGTCGTCAAAGTTGGAATCCGGAACTCAGGCATCAAGCTGATGGTAGGTGTGATATGTCCGCACCAGGGGTGGCGGAATGACTTTCCACGAGTTACGTTACCGTCTGGTATAGTATATTATAGTTATAGATGATACACCAAAAGAAAAGGCTACAATAAAGTTGAATTAGGAAAAGCAAAGGAATGCAGTACGAACCTCTAACGGCGTTAAACGAGCCAAAGTAATGATCGGTGCCACATGTGCTTCCAGGTCCGCTTGGCGAAAACCCAAAATATTCCCAAGGGAAAGAATAGAACCCCCTTTTGGTAATAAATTTAGGTAATTGAATCTTCAAAGTAAGTTGATCCTTCCAAATTTAAGGGCTTAAAATTTTCTCACAAAATGAAGATGTAGCAAATGCACACGACAATCTCTTAGTCAAAAGTGACCGGAAAAGAAAAGATAAGAAGCGAAGGAATTTTATCAAAACCAAGGACGACTGGACAGAAGAGTGGACAACAAGAGCATAGGCAACACAAAATACTTCCGAGAAAAATAACACCGTTATACCGTAAATTATACCTTATAAATGAAGGTCACCAAAAACTTTAATTTGCAATTTTACGCGCTTACTTTACACGTACTTATGTAACAGATGTTACAAATTTACCTTTTCTCCTACTTCTTCCGGTTGATAAAATTAATTAGCTTCTGCAATCTTTAAAATTTATGTATAGGGAAATTCCGTTACACTTACCGTAGTCGCACAAAATATCTCCGCAAATAATACACGTTCTCAACCATATTTTAATTTTTTGGGCATACTTTTCCCTAATTTGACCATCTTCGTATCTTCTATGATTGCCGAGATCCCCATGATAGACACCTTTATCTTGAAGACAGTATATAAAATTACCTTGCCCTAAATTAAGTGTGGTTAACTTAATCGCTCACGGCACAGCGCGAAATTCGTACAAAACAAAACCACTCTACGGTAATTTACAGGTGACCGACTTCACGTTACACGCTAATTGCTTAACGGTTCCCTCTGAACAGCCAGCTTCGCACTGCTTTACTCCTTACTCCTGTAACCCAAACCTTTTTTACAAAAAAAAATAATTTTATATTTCCAATCAGATTGCTTGAAGCTCATAAATCGACTCAAAGTAGAATAATTTCTCGCTTATTCAGCAATTACCACACGACTCAGTAACTCGGATAATGATGAAAATAGCCAAAATGTTTCCCGTAATTTGAACCAATTCCGCCACATCCTACGACTCAACGACGCCACAATCTCACAAACGTATTTCAAAAGTCAGGACCGTATTTCAGGACCACTCGCTCACGAAACACAACCCAAAAAAAGGCTCTAGCTTAACTCGAATTATAACTTTCACACCTGGTTATCTTCAAGTTTTTACGCAGCGATAACGAACTAATTATTATCCGCGGATTTAAAAGAGATATGCTCTTACAAATTACTACGCAATTATTTCCAGATGCCCCTAATCTTTTAACACGTAATATAACTGAAATAAAATATACAAGATACAAGGTGGTTATTTAAACAGAATTGAAACATATATATTAGCGACCACATTTAACCTTAAAAAAATTTAAATTGCACTCATTACTGTACATAAAAACGTCCGCATGACATAACAATATAGGAGTACAAAATTCAGGGCTTTCCGTGGGTTTTCTCTTTTCGATTTTGTCAATTCTCCAAAATTCCAAGAACTGATTTGAACAGAATTGGATATCTGGAGATCTTATAACATGCGTAAAGAGTGCATCCTACAAATGTCATGATATTCTTAGCGTTTTACTCTCCGTAAAAAGAATTGTAGTTCAACACTTCATAAATTAATTTTGTATTCGTTATTGTCACCTTGAAGAACGGCCACATGCGGGATATTATTGAAATTGGAACTTTTTCACGCCTTTCTATAGTGGTACTGGTATACCGTCTTTTGGGATAGGAATTTTAGAAAGATGCAAAAGCGTAATACCTTTTGCCCTTAGAATTTAATATTCTTTAAATGCGTTTTGTCCGTCCGTCCGTCCGTTCGTCCGGACCCACTTCTGCCGTTGTGAACTAAAAGTGGTGGGGGGAGGGGGGACACACGTTTTACGCTTCATGGTATTCTAATTAAAGGTCTCAACGAAAGGAATCGTTTTCTACCAACTATCGCTCTTTTTTCTGAACCCTTATCAAAAGAGGGGATGGGGGAGGATGGATGGTTTTATCCTTCACGGTAGGTACTCTAATGAAAGGTCTCAACCAAAGGAATTAATTTCTACCAACCATAGTCCTCCTCTTCGAAGGGGAATCGTCATCCAACACCGGGTGATCGGAAAGTAGAGCGGACAGTTTGAATTTCGCGGAAAACTAAACATTTACAAAGTTGGTAACATACCAAATGTCATTTATTTAAAAGGAGTGGTGGATCAATTTAATGGATCACTAAACAATAATCACAATTAATTAATTTAAAAAAAATTAATTTATCAAGCTCAGTTGCACGCTCCGGTTCATGTATTCAAATATCTATTCCAACGTTGCCCGAGCGATAGTCATAGATACCAATTAAACCATCACCGTAAAGCTCATTTCAGTTGCTTACATACAATAGGACGTATCAAGGTATTCTCATAAATGAACGTCATCAAAACTGGATGAAAACATTCCGATATCTCTGTGTAAAAGTTTGTGCCACATATTATGCGGTAAGTCTGTAAGAATAACAAATAGGGATGTTATCGTTCACATTGTTATACCACCACCAGCTTCATTAGAGAATTTTCGAAAACGATTTCTTGGGGCTACGTTTTTTTTACACCTTCGACATCGTGGTAAGTAGCACATTTATCGTTGAATTGCAGTAAGCACAACTGAGTCGAATATGAGCATCTTCTAAACGTGTGCGCCTTTCAATTGTGCATCAAAAGTCATCCCCTTTAAAGCCTTTAAGCCTAAAAAGTAAGGTTACATGATCCTTATAATGTAGTTTCTCCTAATGTACGTACCTTTACGAAATGATGCACGTGCAAAGACCTTTAAAAAGAGCTGTTTGCTTTAAAACGCCTGGATCACAGTACGAAGATTAGAAAATAAAATTCACATAAAAAAACTACGCCAATGGATGACAATTAATGCATAAATAAACCACCTTCTAAACACGTTTGCCAATTCCTTAAGTAAAAAAACACTAAAAACTTAAAGAGCCAAATTTAAATTGTCTGCAGTTTTTTTCGATCACCCGGTATATTCCCTTATATTTCCAGAACGGAACCAAGAAAGTAAACATCGCTATCATGCTACTAATGCGCCTTATCTGCACAAATTAGACTTGTTTTTCTTTTCGTCCCATATTGTAAACTATTAATTAAAAAACCGCATCTTTCTACGTGTCTCTGTTAGTATATTGTCGCACAAAACATAACGGCTGGGAACACAAAACGAAAATTGATCACGTAAAAGTGTCCCAGATTAAAAATGCCAGATCTTCATTAATAGTGAGGCAACCAAATGTAGAAGTGGGCGCACAAATACAAGCACAAAACCAGCACAAAGTAATGTGGTAAGAGCTCTAGCAGCAACAATAATATTGAATTTTGAAAGAGAATTGGAAAAAATTAGAAAAGGGCCAATTGGAAGCATATTAAAATGGGCACTTTATAGTGTTTACGTACAGAAGTTGACGTTCAAATCATCTCTAGTATCATCCTTTACAAAAAGAATTGTTACTGAAACAACGAAACGAAATTCTTCAATTTTTCGGAGGGTTTCAGCTTAAGTAACCATATACACTCAGTTTGAACGAAAGAACCTAGTATTCTCCATGGCTCTGGATTGAATACATCGTTCATCATGACACATGAGCGAGATACCGTTATGAAGTACCTCCAAAGTTCAACATCGTTATATTTAGAGTAGATAGCCCAGTCTAGCTGAATTATTGCAAATCACTTTTTAGTAAGCACGGAGATATCGCGAATGAAACATCGACCGAGCTAATTTATGTGTCCTTTCAAAATGCTTACTCGAATGGTTTATGGAGTTACACTATTTTATTTTATGTTCGCTTTGTGGCATGCAACAACAAATCTAACCGACTTTTTGAAGGGCCCGCTTCGCTTTTTAACAATGTGGAATATGGTAAGACGTATATCTACGCACAGCCCAAGCTATTGTGATTTCAATTTCCGACTTCAAAGTCATAATTTTGAGTCACAACTCAAAGAAAATTACTTAGTAGTAAAAGAATAAAATAAAAAATGTTTACAGCTACTACAAACAGCATTTATCGCGATATGTCTACTGAACAGCTTCATCGGAAGTAACGAAATCAACCCCAAATCGAAACCTCCCATTCGCAAACTTCGCGATACTGTAAGTATAACAGCTATACGGCAGGTACTTTCTAATCAATCAGTTGTAGATTATGGCTGGAATAGCGTTTCCAATGGCACTGTTCGTTAGTCTAATGTTCTGGGGCATTTACGCGATAGACAGAGAACTTATTTTTCCGCGGGCGCTGGAATCGCAGCATTCATCATGGTTAAACCATGCGGTGCATACCAGTCCCATGGTCTTCGTGATAGTACAAATGTATGCATCGTACCACGCGTATCCTTCACGGAAAACTGGGGTCACTATGACTGCAGTCTTTCTCGGCACTTATATAGGGTGGTTACATGTTGTTCGTGCGCGTACCGGCGTATGGGTATACCCCTTCTTGGAAATGTTGGGCTTCCCCCAACGCCTGCTATTTTTTACGTTCTCAATGGGACTAGGAATTTTGCTGAACCTACTCGGCGAGCAATTGAATAACGGCATATGGAGAAGCGCGGTTAAAAAAAGAAAACAAAAAGCTTAAATTCGTTTCGAGCAAAATCTATTAACGTTTAGTCACTTTTGTTGCAAAACTACAAACGAAGGAGGTTTCAAAACCCCCCGTACTTACCTCCGTTTAATTTGTAATGAATATTATCAAATACATTTTGCAAATAAAGTGAAAGGTCAAGTACTTAAATCACATTTTTTGGAAAGGTAAAACATACTAGCGGATTGATTTGATTTAGCGAAAATCACGTCAACATGTTTAATAGGGGCATCCCGGCTTCATTCTTTATTTCTGATCTACAAAGTACAATAAAAATAAAAAGATCCGTGTGTCTTCAATTTTTATTTACGAGTAAAATAAACCCAAAATAAATTATTGAAAAGCTGTGTTTTTAGTCCGAATTTGAAACGCTTCAGTCTAAATACGTCACAAACCTACAACCAATCACGTAGAAGTGAGCCGGCAACCTTGTGCGAGGGTCTGACGTTATGCGGATTTGACGTTTTAAGAGGCTCCTGCAATATTGCCAAGTCGTATGTCATCTGAATGGTTCTAACAGCTGATTGGTCGGGCTTATTACGTCACAGAACCCGCCAGAATCATCTCGTTTTGAATAAACCCCTAATACCGCGCATGATTTTTGCCGAAAAGCTGAACAAACTGCACCTGCGCTCGATGCCACAACCACTACTGCTCACTCTTCAGGGTTAGCTTGACTGCTGCATAAACGGAACAAACCCTTACTGGTCCGATCTTTATCGTTCAATTTATGAGTCAGGTGACGCCACACCCCTTGTTCCCTAAGTGCTTTCCCATTGTATAACATGTTGTGCCAGTGACCCAACATTTGCAAAAAATAAAAAACACAGGAAACCCAAAAGCTTTTCAGACCTTTCTTTCATGTCTAAGAATATGTGTACTAAATTTGGTTCCAATCAGTTCAGCCGTGTAGCCAGAAATGAGATTACAGGCAGACAGATCCACAGACCATCAGACCGACAGGCAGGCGGACATAATCAAGATTTTGTTTGATTCATGTAAAAGCGGGAGGTCTTTACTCCAATGCAATACCTCCCTTAGTAACGGGAGGGGTGGTAAAAATTAGTATATTATGCAATGAGCATTTAATGTAAGGCACGAGTTTGAGAATTGCGAAACGAGCCTTGGCGAGTTTCGTAATGATTATGAGTATCTTAATAGCCATTAAATGCGAGTTTCATACACTATGACGATCTATTAAGAGATAATTTCACGATGGCTTCAAAAGCGGTCCAAAATTTTTATTGTGTGCAGGTAGTTAAGTCAAGGACCTTAAAGCATGTGCAGTCATCGTAATGCCTTCCAGCGGAGTGTCACTGTCAAATTTAATGAACGCCGATTGAAATCTACGTTTGTATGGGAAGTGGGAGCCCAGCAGCTGTCAAAACTAATAAATTTTAAATCTGTCAATGATATGACAACTTTGATTTGCAATTCTATTGGTCGTAAACTTGTGTCTTAATAAAAATTTGTATCGAAATGACTATCATTTAAATGCAGGTGGCAAATGTTTAATTTGTCAATTAAAGTATAGGAGTAAAAATAGTACTCGTATATTATGTATCAAGTTTTATAAACGACACTTTAGACACGAGTTTCTAGAGAAGTTTATAAAACACGTCACATACTAGGTATACTGTTTCTATGAGAATTCTGTTGACGCTTCGTTATTTTGGAAGGAACAGTTTTTCTCCATTATCATTCTCTGTGTCCTTTTTTGAAAAGCAGCCTTACGATGAATGTCAAAATTACAAACGTCAAACTACCAACTTGATTTAGTCAACAAAATTCAAGCCTTGTTTAATGAAACTTCGGGCGTGTTATAATGGCCGCAAACACACGAACGGGCACCAATCTGTATCTAATGAGTCGTCGTGTTTAAAATGACGCTTCGCGCACTATATGTCAGTGCAAAATGTGACATTTTAGAGATGGGAGTAGAAAATAGTCATTTATTATACAAGACTATAAAGCGATATTTTAACCATCGAGTGAAAGAACTTTCATGATTTCATAATACAAAACTTTATTGTATAGCAGAAAAATAGCAAGAAGAATACAAATCATTGTAAAAGCTTCTGACAATTCTGAATGTAATTTAGAGACATCAAAAATAGCAAGCTAAGGTTCTACCGTCGCGGTCGTTTCCATAAAAACAGAATTGTCATATGTTCTGAACGTCATTTTATCATGCATTTGAAATAAGAATGACAGATGTCATTAGAATGCACAATCATTTGTTTTACTTTATCTACCCTTACAGTTAAAGTTATCACTTTATCTATCCTTAAGGTTAAAGAACGGCTTTGCCTACTCATTCAAACCTATTAAAATGGCAATTTAACATACTATAAAACAAAAGAAATTAACACACCAAGTCCACGGTTGTCCAGCATCCCGTACACAGTTGTCTATTATAGTATATTAAGTATGGAGAACGGTAAGGGATTTTTACCGTTCGAAACAATTGTTTGGAGGAGGAGCGAAGCGACGACTCCAATTATTGTCTGAGAACGGTAACCCTTAACGTTCGACGTGCTTATAACATTTTTTGCGCGATCGAAATTAAATTTATGCAACCAATATAAATATGCACTAAGAAATTAACGAGCAGAATAAATCGAAATGATCGAAGTGGTATGGTGTATATCACTAGGTAACCAGTTTATTTGTCAAAATTGAAGTTAATAATTTCATAAAATGGTGCATGTGTCTGATGTAGTTTACTAGCTTTGAACTTCCTTTATGACTTTATGAGCGTCTTGCTATAGGAAACAACAGCACAAATTGTACGTTTAATGTACCTAACAATAATTAAAGATTAAATGTAATGTAAGACTGTTGATTTTTAAAAAGGCGTCGGTAAGTATTTTTGCTGTTCTGTTTTTAGATCGGTAAGTAATTTTGACGTCGTCGTAATCATAGCAACTGGTAAATTCTACCTACTGTCATGGAAACACCCATGGTAAATAGTCAGAAATGACCGATCGCGCAAAAAGTAATTAAAGGCAAGGAATTGCATGCATCAAAGTTGGACCAGATCCACGAGTGAAATTTTCTGAGACACTTGGTCAATCGAATTACACTTAGTTGCTCACTTTGGCCTAGTTTAACACAGTGACTGTTGATCATTTCACGATAATTCTGAATGTCTTCAAATGGCCTCGTTTTTGTCTTAAATTTTGGAGAACCGAGTCGAACTAACTCACTGTGTAGCTTGTAACGGGGATCGCCTTAGAAAAAAAAGGTATTTTTCGAATTTACTGAGCATAGGAAAATTTACACAGGTATACCGCTTCATAGTGAACTTCAACAAAAACGTGTCTGGCGATGAGTCATATCAAGAAATGTATTGCGGCAAGCGAGCGTGGTTAATTCGGTACCTTTATCACTGATGAAATAGTTGCGACCGAATTTCTCCATTCAAGTTACAGTTACGTGTCAATCGCTTGAAAACAGGGGTTCAATGTATTGCCCCTCTCACCTATCTGAGGTTTGTAATATAAAATTCTGTACTGCACATCCAAAATAGTTCGATCTTCGTGTCGATTTTGTACTCTTAATTTAAGTATCTACGCCAGCGAATGGGAAAACAATGCGTGGATTAATTAACAAAAAAAGCAGACTTCGGAAAATTTACGTTTTATAACTAACTCAGTTGCTGGACGCCGCATTGCTCATAATGCTCTTATTACATTCACTTTTATTCGCCCCTTTTACTTATTGGCCGAATGGACGACCTCTCAGCCTTTATATTCAGTACTCTTTGTCTTCAATTCTATTCTTAAAACTTCTCTGCTTATTTAGACATCTACACTGTTATAATGGCGGTTTACAGTATAGTTGAATTCCGCAGTTCTAATTTAATAAGCGTGTACCTGAAGCCATAAAACATTTTCTTGGACAGTAAAAGTTTATTTAAAAATAGAGGCTGATTAGCAAAAAAAATAATGAACATGTGCGGTTTTAAAGGTTTATTCAAAACGATATGATTGTGGCGGGCTCTGTGACGTAATAAGCCCGACCAATCAGCTCCTAGAACCATTCAGATGACATAACGACTTGGCAATATTGCAGGAGAATGGCAGTTATAACTTGCGTCATCTGTCACAGGCACTTTGTCACTTTCGGTCTAGATGCAGTTAAACATCCCTCAAAACGTCAAATGTGACAAACGTCAGACCCTCGCGTAAGGTTGCCAGCTCACTTCTACGTGATTGGTTGTAGGTTTGTGACGTATTTAGTCTGAAGCGTTTCAAATTCTGACTAAAAACACAGCTTTTCAATAATTTATTTTGGGTTTATTTTACCCGCAAATAAAAATTGAGGACACACGGGTCTTTTTATTTTTAATGTACTTTGTGGATCAGAAATAAAAAATGAAGGCTACACAGTAAAAATATACACATCTCGCTTTAATATATAAAAAGGAACCACAAATTGTTTATTGTTTCTAAACCGATCGATTTCGGGTTTAAACACCCATCATCAGGCTATGCTAAAAGTATATCACATGAATTTGATGAACACAGAATTAAAATTATTACCGTCAATTTAAATTATATAAATTCAGTGACATTGAGTTGAATAAAATTGGATAAAAAGTATTAAAATTCATTAAATTCATGTGATATACTTTTAGCATAGCCTGATGATGGGTGGTTAAACCCGAAATCGATCGCTTTAGAAACAATAAACAATTTGTGGTTCCTTTTTATATATTAAAGCAAATCTCAACGAACCAAGAAATGGAGAATTACATTACAAATATACACATCTCCTTTACCATAATTTATTATCCCTCTATTGTTCTGGACCCTCAACAGGCTTGCGCCCAATTATAAAGCGACCGGCATAATGCTTTTTAGAATGTAGGAAGTCAGCGATTAAATATACAGGGCGAATAAAAAGGAAGGGCCATTGATGCTAGAGCCGTTACTATTGGTCATAACCAGAAAACTTGTTAATAAAAGTTGAATTAAACATTTGCCACAATCTGACGGTTTTCAATTTTTTATCTGACGTCATAGTTTCACAATGTGATGTCATCCCAAACAATTTTAATGGCAACCTATGTTTTTTTGCCAATGTTAGAATGTTAGATTGTATTTTAGGAATTTTGCATAAAGACCTATGTATGTACCCGCACCGGGTTTCTGTTCTACAGCAACTCCATGCTCTTGATTATGAAAATTGACGGAATTATTGTGATTGGTTTACTAACAATTTTAATAACAACGACGTTTTAAATGTAACTTTTATGACTGATGATGCATTTTATTAAGAGACTAGTGTACATCCTTTAAAAG